GGAACATCCTGGCTGCATCTACCCTTAACTGGATAAAAAAAAATTTCTAAAGAGATGCAGCAAATTAGTAAATTTCAAAGGGAACGTAATATTGAAAGCCTGGGAGAGAACTGCCTGAAATGCTTATGATCTGGTGGCGGGGGGGCACTCTTTTGCTTCATCCCTAGGTGCATGCCACTATGAGCAAAAGGCAGCTGTCAGACAAGATGACAGAACTCCAGCTACTGCTTCGGCAAGAGGAGAGTCTGGCAAAAAGCTTCATTGATGACAAGACTGAGCACGCCCTTCAAGCACATGATCAGCAGTTGGAGACCTGTGGAGAAAAGCTTGGAGCCCTTGAGACTTTCTCTCATAGGATCAGACAAATACAACAGCAGAGTGATCCCGTTCAGTTACTGCAGGTAGTGTTTTGTGGTGTCTTTCTGCATCTTATCCTACCACTCCCTGGTAAACTCCTCTGGTGACCCTCTGTGATTAGCCTCTCTAGACCCCTCTCTTTGTTAGCAGCCTCTTTCTCCGCCTTTTTTTCTTCTTTTTATGGATGTTTTGGTGAACCACTTCGGCTCTTGCTTTTTGTGTTGTTAAGTGCTCATGCTGTGGCAGTGATGTCAGGTCTGTTTGAGATTTTATGTTAATTTTTACTGTAGATGAAAAAGAGAGTTATGCCTCTCTCTTGAACCTGAAGTCAGAGGCTGCATCTGGTCTTTCCTTAGGCAGCATAGTATGAAAATCTGACAAAGGGCAGCCCTTACTGGGAACCTTAGGGTTAAATTGTCCCACTTCTTTAGTCACAGATCTAAATCTCCCTGAGTGATAGCCATGATTTTATTGGAGAGGGCAGTGTTTTTCCTCTTGTGTACAGATGTATTTCATTCTCTCTTTCCTAATGATCTTCTCACCTTCCCTGGAAAGCATGTGTTGCCATGTGCTTATGCCCTGACACAAACCAAAGGATGCCATTCTTCATGGGAAGACCCATGATGCACATCTATATCCTTGCTACATTGCTTGGCATGCTCAAGAGTTCACAATGCTGTTTGTAACGTGGCCTGGCCTTCTGTTAGTGCTAGCAACTGGGTTCCATATGGGAAACTATTCTTCATGATTTTTGAGGGCTTTTCTGCAGTGGAGGTTGGGTTTTATTTTTTGTATTGCTTTTAAAAATTAGTGATTTATTTTTTTCTATTGTTGAGATTTCCCAGAGAGAGTCCTAGCCAAGTCAGATTCCTTCCCATCTTAGGGTGTCCTGAAGGACCTTGCTGTACCATGACTGCCTGATTCCACTTCTCTGGGGTAGCGTCTGGCTCCACTGGCAGGAGGATGCTTAATGGACCATTAAGCAGGCTAAGCGTGGCAAGACCTGAAAAGCTTGCTTGTAACGGCCCATACGGCCCATACGTTTAGCTGCTGGTGGAGCTGTCCATGCCTTCTGGTGTGCAGAAGCTGGGATGGAAGAGTTCAAATTCACACCACTGTCTTTACTAATCAGAGAGCTGGACTTTCTTCCTCCAGGACTGCACTGAAATTGAAAAGGAAATGCAGGAGCACAGGAGCCTAATAGAACAGTGGCATCCAATACCACTCTCATTTGAGCACATCATCAACCATTATAAGCATCTCATGGCAGCTCTTCAGTCCATTCTACGGAAACCACTAGAAGTTCGGCTTAAAAAAGGTACCTGTGAGAGCGCTGAGAATTTTTTTGCATTCTCCTGATCTCTTTTTAAGTATAGCTTGTAAGTAGGAGCAGTGTCTTTTATTAGACCAAGCAAAAGCTGGAGAAAAAAAAGAACAGCTTTTCAGGCAGGGGTAGGTTCTCTGATAGCACTGGTGTAATGTTGCTATTGCTGTGGTGATTTAGGAATGTTTGAGGGTTTTCTTTCAACTCTGAGGAAGGGCTTTGGTGCCTTAAAGCTTGCCCAGTGCTTTTTTTCCAACTGTATAGGTTGTTTCAATATAGGTTGCCACTTCCTGCAGAGCTTACCTGGTTTATGTCACTAGACCATCACAGCTATTCAGCATAGCTCTTCTGTCCTTTCAGCTACTGTCAGATGCATGGACTCTGTCAGGCCATCTGGTAGGCAAGCACCATCAGGTACCTGTAAAAGCTTGGAAAGCTTGCGGCCAGTGTTGCACCTGGTGATGTCTTTGTCACAGGCAGTCTGACAGACCTCTTTGGGTTTTGGTACTTTAAAGGTGAGTTGACATGTTCTGCTTAGAGGTCCTTTTCTCTCTGAGCTGGCATTTTGTCCTCAACTGACCTTTCGCATAATTAAGGCAGAGTCCCCTAATGGCATAAAGTCATGAAGTCAAATAACCAGGGGGAAATCCTGCTGCTTGAAGAGTTTCAGGCGAATAGGCAACGCTGGCCATCACATTTCACCCGTCTGCCTTTTACTGTTCTCTGTTCTGAGAGCTGCCACCAAGAACACCACAGCAGGATGCCAGGGAGAAGTCTTGGGACCAGACCTGGAAGGTCACTGCAGGATGAGTAAAGAGCTGCTAGACAGTACCATGCAGGTGCTTTGTAGCTGTCTTCAGCTGCCTGATTCTGCTCTGATCTGATGTGGGGGGTACTTCTTGGGGAAATGGGAGGTGTTTACTTGCCACTTTATATGTGCTGGGTTGCGTAGATCCTACCAACATTGTCATCCAACATCTCCATGCTGTCTAAAGAGCATAAGGTGGAAGGCATACGGAGTGAGCAGTCCTCCCCAGCCAAGGTAAGGGTGTAGTTTGTCCATCAGATTGGAAAAATGGAATGTGACTATATGGCCTTGCTCAGGCCATGGATGGAATTCACAGGGAAGAGGCAAAAAAACCCCAAATACCCCATCCTACAAAATCCTCCAAGGTGTCATATCTTTGAACTCTGCTTAACAGTAAAGGTGTATTCTTCCTCTGTGCCTCAGGCCAGGCAAGTGCCTGAACTGCCTTTCTTCATCTCTGAACAGACATTTTTAGTAGTCTTAACGCCACTGCCAAGCAGGAGCCTGGAACACTGTTGAAAACCGCGCCTTGTGTTGATCGATTGCTGTTCTTAAAACGTAAGTGTGATTGAACAAAGGTTTCCAGCGCTTCTAGTGCTTACTGCCCTGTTCACTCAGGCAGTGAATGAATGTGTGCTGCCCTTATTTTAAAAGGGTTCGGATGTTTACATGGTTTGGGAGGAATGAGTGCTTGTCTCTGCCTAAAAATCGCTACCCTTTTCTGAGGAAAGAAATTTTAGTTGCTGTCTGTAAAATCTTGATCCTTTGTTTTTATTCCTAACTGCAAGGTGTGAATGAGTTAGTGACTAATTTAAAGACCTTTCTATTCTCATCATCATCATCATGATCTGTCTAATTATATATGTATGTCCATCATGTAATCTATCCAGCGGCAATCTACAGGTGATGCTCTTCTCTGGTGTGGGTGCAAAGGATGTACAGTGAGTTGTTCCATGTGTCTGACAGCAGATGAGCGTTGTGGCTGTTATTAATCTCAAAGCTGTAGCATTCCCTGTTAAGAGTTTCACTGTACCTGGTAGCAGAAGGGCCTTGTAAGAGGTCTCCTTCCTAGCGTGGATCCAACCCAGTCAGGAGTGGACCCTTGACTTCGGGCTGCTCTTCAGTAGGGAGGGGGCAAGGGGCAGTGTCATTGCAGGTAGAGTGGGTTACATGCTGTCCCTGCACCCATGGACTGGCATGTTCTCAGGAGTATTTTCCGGAGTTACTACTCCTTGTCTTGCTTCTGTGCTTCTCTGGGTTAGCCCCTAAGTCCCAACACTGCAACTTTTTCATCACAAACAGGTATCTCAGTTGGAGATGAGTAAACAGCTGTTGCACCTTGTAAATGCAGCAAGTTTTAAGAAATCAGGAAGGCAACAAGCAAAGCCTGTTTTCTTGAATAGGATGTCCTGAGTTGTTTCCCACTGGCATCATTTCTGTGCTGCACGGTCCAGATTCAGTCAGCTACTTTGTAACCACAACGTGATCTCCTTAAGGCCCTGTCATTGAGCGCTTGCAGCAGCAGCTAGTCTCCTTTTCAGCTTTAAAGCATGGGTGTGTAGGTAGTGCAATGTTTTCTAATTAAGAAAAATCATTTTTCCTAGCAAAACTGCAGTTTCCACAACGCTGCCAACCATGGGCTCTGTATGATTTGGGTATATTTCAGGAGTTGGATGATAAATTTAGTAAGCACATACGGTTTTTACTGCAGATGCAAGATGTCCGACATGGGAATACGACAGCCTTCATCCAAGGCTGAAGCTGTCTGATGATCGTCTTGTAGTGAGCTGTAACTGGAGAAAGATATTTTACCCAGGGGGTCCCCAGAGATTTGATAAATTATGGCAAGTGCTAAGCAGAGATGCATTTTTCTCTGGGAGCCATTACTGGGAAGTTGACCTACTACATGCTGGAGCGGGATGGTGGATTGGTGCCGCCTACCCTTCCTTCTGCAGGAAAGGAGACTCTGAAACTTGCCGACTAGGCTGGAACAGAGCATCCTGGTGCATTAAAAGGTTTGATATTGAATACTGGGCATTTCATAATGGGGAGCGGATTCCCATCGTGACAGAAGATGATCCCGATCGAATTGGCATTTTTCTGGATTATGAAGCGGGAGTACTTTCGTTCTACAACGTCACTGATGGCATGGCTCATCTGCACACCTTCCGCTGCAAGTTCACAGAGCCAGTTTACCCAGCCTTGAGGCTCTGGGAAGGGTCCATCGCAACATACAAATTGACATAGGGAACGGAGATAAAGCCTGCTTCTTCACAGTTTTACTATGAAAGCTGTTGTAGCAATGATCCACGCTAATTAATTTCTGTCATGATAGACCTTTCTGTGTTGCTTTTAAAAGGTAACAGGAGTATGTATTTCCAGCTTAGTACTGATCACCTTCCAAAATAGAATCTCAGATAGCTACTACTGTAATGCTGTGACTTCATCAAATCATATGCTATACCAAGCGCAGTTAGAGAAAACTAACTGTAATGTTGAATGTATATGTATTTTCAATAGGGGAAGGTGATTTGCCATTTATAAATGTCAATGTACTACCTAAAGTGCCATACATCCTATTTTTTGTATTCAGTTCTGACTTGCAAATGGAAAAAGGCTGGTGGGCACTTGAAAGCCTATGGACAACTCAGATTTAAACTGAGAAATAGCTATCCTTTTTATTAATTCCCTCTTTTGCGTCCGGATGGAGAAACTGCAATCACGTTGGCTCAAGATTCAAGTTCACATACTGTATAACGTTAGCTTTGACAAGGTCAGATTTTGGTGATAAATACATTAAATGAAGCAGTTCATAGCGAGCTGTCATCTCAGAGAAAATCAAAGAGTGGCATTAACTGTTGGAGAGGTCCCTCTAGCCAGACCCGAGGTAGGAACGTCTGTAGCCACACTAACACCCTTTAGCTGGCCTTATTCAGACACAGAGTCTGAACTGGGCTTCTCGATAGCCTTATTCTTCCTCTACAGAGTGAAGATGAAAAAAATAGTTGCATACCACCACCCTATACAAGGTGCAATGCTTGGAGGATCGTCACCACGCATGCAATACACACACTAGATCAGTAGGGCAGTTGTGGTTTAAATGATTATTTTTGTTTCCTATCTCCAAAGACTGACTGTTGCTGGGTAAAGGTATATGCACAGAAAACTAGGAGAGACAGCTTGCAAGGGCTGCTCTTCACGTGATGCTTCTGTATCTTAGCACTGCTGCATAATGATATTGACTTTTTTTTTTTTTTTCAATATATACTAAAGTTCAGAAAATTTTTGGGACCTACATTTACAGCAGTCTCTGGGGCCAGCCCTACTGCAGCGAACAACCAGTGCCACTTGAAGCACCCAAGGAATCCTAGGGGATCCAAATACTAAAAGCCCTAAAATCATCTCTACTGCTGGCAAAGGCAAGGCCACACCACTAGATGAAATATAAAAACAACAGCTTCTTTTATAAGCTTGCTTTATTTTTTTAGATTTGTGAATAAAAAAAAAAAGATTCTTAACAATTGAGTAGTTTCTTAATATAAGGCAAGTATATTGCATCAATCAAAGCTTACAGACTGTCACAAGCACATGACTCACTCAAAGAATCTCTTCTTCCCACATCCAAGATAGGATTAGTCTCCTCAGAACTGCCAAAGGGTAAACGTTTTGAAAGAAACAGTAAGTAGCCCAGAACTACTTAAAAACACCACTGCCATGTTCAAGATACTAAGTCATGACCAAGAGGTAGCAAGTTCCAAATAACCATCACTAGTAAAATAATTCTGACACAGACAAATGAAGATGAACTATAGCAAAGACATTCTGTGCTAGCCAGTCTAACTGAGGGATGCACTGTTTGTAGCTGCTGCCATTTGGACCCCTCATGGATGAAGGGAAGAGCAGCAAGCTGACCGGGAGTGGGATTGCATTTCCTTCTTAAGAGGCAAGAGCCTGTGATGCAAAAGCAGAGGACACAGAGGAGCACAGACCATCATGCATAGTGATGAAACATCATGATGGCATCTAGTCCAGTAGCCAGCCTTGGCTGTTTCAAAGAGCAGTGTTAAAGAAACCCAAAAACAAACAAACAAAAAAACAATCAGTTTTTTCACTTGACAGTCCAGGAAGGATGCGGCTGAATCCTGACCAGAATTTAGCCTCCCACCTGAAATCTGAGATCTTACCCCAGCTACCTTCAGTAAACAGGCTGGCAATACAAATAACAGGTGCCCCAATTCATTGCAGAATTCATTTAAGGTCCAGATTTCAATCAGCTCACAGTGGGTACCATGGGCTTTTTCTTCTTTTCTTTCTTTTTTTTTTTTTTTTCAGAGCACAGATTAAATTTATTTCAACTGATCCATCATCTTGGGTCCATTTTTTACTTGATCTAGGTGGCTGCCTCTTTTGCCTTTCAGTTCAGAAAAAAGACACAAAGGCCGTTTCTCTTACCCTTTATATAGGGGCTTTCTATGTATCTAATTTACTGCCTTTCTCGGTGCTGTCTCTTGATACGGTATGGCCACATGGGGAGGTAGTTTTCTCAAGGAGGCTAAGTTTTCCCAGAATGGTATTACAGGAACAGATATCTCCCTTTCTCTGTTCAGTCTCACTTCCAGTTTGTCCACCTCCACACCTCAAGCTGGTTCCAACCCAGTTCTTTATCCTGAGACATTTTAGCCAACTAAGAAATCCATCAGGTGGCATGGGTGAAGTCTTCTCTTCAGTTTACATAACCTTTACATAACCTATCTGCTAAGTGAACAGACTAGCTGTCTGTTATTAGAGGGGTGAGAGAAACAGCAGAAGAGCAGGCCACCAAAACATAAAGTGTTAGAATAGTTCAAAGTGTAGACAAATAATGATCGTTTTGCATAATCTTACTAGAAAAGGGAAGCTGGAAAGCAGCAGACCTTGGTCTCAGGTTTGGCAAACCTCCAAATTACACTAGTTTAAGTGGAATGGAATAGGAGTAGCATGGCATTTTCTGAACCCCGTGCTATACATTTTCCAGTAAAACCACCCTGTACAATTTAAATCCATTTGCTGCAAACACTTCCTGCTACCAAGAACCTGAACATTTTAGTCTATTTCGATTCTCGTGATTCCCCCTTTCTTCTAATCTACCATGCTGCTATACCTATATACGCTGTGTAGTAGTGCAATACTACATCATCAAAATACAGACGAGTGCGCTTTGGTTTAGTATTTCACTTTTTTTACATGATTTTCCATTGCCTGCTCCGTGATGGTTTCATCTTCTTCAATATTTATTTTGACCTTCCGGCCCACCAGATCAAAGATGGCTTCCGGGGGAAATCCCTTAGGCTCTCCCACCTTCACTGTCAGCATGTCCAGTGTCAGTACCGTACCTTCAGGAATTGTCACTTTTGCCACAACAGACTTTCCCAGCTATAGGGGAGAAAATTAAAAAGGTTTAAGTCAAATAGAGTCCTATTCACAGGATATCAAAACAGGCTGAAAATTTCTACAGTTGCTTGGGAAGAAGTTGCGTGGAACTGCCCTCCCCATTAATTCTTTCTGATGTCAAATCAAGGGTGTGTTAGCATGGCAAATTTCCTTGCAATGAGGCTGCTGGAAACACTCAAATCTTTTCTGAAATACATATAATGGCTCATTGGATTTTCTCAAAATCAGAACGGAGAGAATCTGTCAAAAAGGCAAGACGGTCCAGCTTAGCGTAAAAGCAGCTTGTATACAGTCATAGACACCTACTACTCAACTTAGTTAACCACAGAATGATATACATGGAACTCCGCTATGTTCAAAATTGGCATTGGGTAAAAACAGCCACTGGCTGCCAAAATAAAATATTACAGGAATTGACAGGTCTGCCCTAAAGCTACAGTGCGCTAAGCATTAATGCTGTGTATGCCGCTATTTAGCGGCAAAAGTTTTTCAGCGCCGTTAGCTATCAGCCTAGATGTCAGCTACACATGAAACAAAATCCCTTACCTTTTCATTACAAGCCATTTCACAGGGCAAGAGCTGCTTGACTGGAGAACCCATTGCCTTTTCCACAGTACGGATGGCTTTCACCAACTCTGCAAGTTCATTTGGCTCCAGGGATGCTTGGTGGTCACTTCCTTTCCAAGTTTTGTCCAGAGTCACATGGCGTTCAACTACTTTTGCACCCATAGCAACAGCTGCCACTGAAATGGCTATGCCAGTTTCATGTCCCGAATAGCCAATGGGGATATCAGGAAAAGCTGACTGATATGCCTTGAATGATGACAGAGTTGGTCTGAATTACCAAGGTAGCAATTTCAAAGACAGAGCAAATTTAACAGTGATAACTGCAATGAAAATATGGACAGTTACAGTGCCACAAAACAAGCAGTTGGTTATGCTGAAAATGCATGTTTTTAAATGTTGAACAAGTCACACTGCATTACTGACCATCTTGTTTTAAGGGGTTCACTGGGATAGTCAATATTGACAAGGAAAAGTATATACACTCTAGTCTACCACTCCTCCTAAGCTTTTCCTTTTAACTTAGTTGTACTCTTCAAGCTCTTAAAAGCCTACATCACTGTAAGTGACATTAATAGAACAGCACTCTATTTGCATCCAGGAATCCAGGGAGTGGTTAAACTTAACGTGCCTCTAAAGCAGGTTCCTTACCCCCATATTTCAAATTTGAAGCAGCACATAGGGGACAGCTTTCCAATCCCATACGCAATTAAACGTAGCCATGTCCAATACTACTTGGAATAACAGATCCTTGTATATACAGCTAGGTAAGTGCTTGAGCACTGGTCAAATTGGGAAAATGTTTAGTTTTTCTTGCATCAGCATCAGGAATATCCAAGTAATATCTTCAGCACAGGAAACTCTATCGTGGCCTAATCCATATTAATCACTGCTCTCCCTATTCACATTAAACCTCTTCAAGGAAAAAGACCTGCAGGTCTGACCTGGCCCCCTATTTAGAGTCATACTCTAGATTCCACATACTTTCTTAGCGGTAATTTCTAATCCCTTTTTTGGCACTTCAAAACACAGGGCAACATTTCAGCCCATACCTCACTTCTTCCTCCATTTAATTGTGAATGCCCCAACAATATCTGAGCTCATCATATTCCTTGAAGTTGAGTTCTGCCGTGAGTGGATGCTTGCATGAGTTAGAGGAACATGATACATTTTCTAACTACTCAGAGGCAAATTCCACCATGACTCAGATCCAGAAATATACCTCAATAAAAGTCCTTCTCCAGTACTCTACCCATAGCACACTCTGGGTTATTTACTGACCGTTATAACACGAAGATTGACGTCCTCGGGTTGAAGTGGGTATGCACTGGTGCACTGCAGGAAGCAGAATTTTGGATTGATGGGCTTCACAATCTGATAAACCTGATGCATTGTGTTCATTGACTGCATCCCGCTGGAAATCACCATTGGGCGACCTAAGCAGTAAAACAGACATGTTTTGCCCCAGGTCTCAAGCTGAGGTCCATAACAAAGCAACAAAAGACTAGTTTAAATTATTGAAGTAAATGAATTCATTTGGTTTAGAAATATAAGTTAGGTGAATGCTTTTTCTCATGTTTGAGGGTGCTTTTTCCTTAAAAGGTATTTTAGGTTTGTTGCAAAATCCGGTGAGAAGAAAGATCTAAGAACGGACCTTCGAGGACAGAGCAATGTTCACTAAGACTGCTCAAAGGAAAATGCTTACCTTTCTTTGCAGTCTTTTCCAAATATGGAAAATTGTTTGTATCTCCTGACCCTACTTTGAAAAACGGAACATCCAATTCATGTAGAAATTCCACCGCCATCTACAAGAAAGAAAGATCACTGAATTTTAACACACCACTCCAGTTTGAAGGAATTAACAAGAACTACCATTCTAGGAAAAAAAAAACAACCTGCAGAACAGTAAAGCCAAAGTTTATTAAATGCACAAGGTTATAAATACATACCCCCCAAAATATATTGCTGCAGAATCAAAGGTATAAAGTACAAAATAAACGAAAAGGTCAAATAAATCAAAAGCAGATGCACCATTTCACTTACAAGAGGCCAGTCTGTAGGTTAGTATTTATAAAACTCTGAGTCAATTAGATTGGTAAATTTTAAGATTAAGTAAACAGCGACAGTGAGACTGGATTTTTGGTCAGACGCCTTGAGACACTCCTACAAACTGATGTCCGCTTTTCAGATACCCTTATCAAAATAGTCTTGATACTACCATAGGCAAACAGCAAGAATATCAGCTTTGGTTTCCCTGGGAATGGAAGTATTTTTACTTATAGGTAGACTCTGGAAGCGATGCTGACTGGAATTAACTAAGGAGCTGGGTCATATTAGGAACTTCAGTCTGCTCGGTACAGTTCACCCAAGTCTCATCAGAAAGTATTAACTTCTGTCAAGACTAGGTCTGACTAGATTTACATCTCCAGCTCCTAAAATAACATACACCATTCTGAAGGTTTTAGTTTCCGAATTCCATGTCAACTACTCTTGAGGTGTCTTCTTTTACAATATTTTTATTGCAAAAAGAGAGAAACTATTTTTTTGTCACAGATTTTGTTCAGAGTTTTGATTAGGAGCCTCGTCTCAAGGCAGTGTCTTCAGTACCCCTTCACACCAGCTTACAGGTACAGCTTCTTAGCACAGATGAGCTCCTTGGCTCCTCTAGCTCTGAGATGGGACTTGCAGGCCACAGCATTCTTGCTCGCTCTTTTTTGGCACCGCCAGAGAGAATAACTAGCTGCAGATGGGAACTTGTCTGCTGAAAAGGAAATGTACTGCAGGTATATGGGCAGTCTTCCTGCCACACACCTGCAGGTCAGAAATATTAAGCCTTCTGTAGAGTGCTTAAAATTACTAGTAGCTTCCCTGAATAGCTCTGTCACTCTGCGCGATCATTCGGAGTATTCTGCTGCCTGTGACTTTTAAGCCAATCTCTCCTCCATCACTGACTTTCATTTTTCCGCCAACATGCTCACAACAATGAATGACCCCCTCAGTTCCCATCAGGCAGTGATACGTGAACTCCTGCATTTTACTATTTACTACATCACTGCTTTTAGTAAAACCTAATGTTTCCCTTGTGAAGCACAAGTAAGATACAGGTGTAGAGAAACTCCTGTTACCACAGTGAAATGCATGGGACTATCCCTCTATTCACTACCTACTCTCTTCAAAAAGAAAGTCGGAAATAGAAAAATACTACAAGTCTGAAAGCTCTTAAAGAGTCTTTTTCTTAGCTGTGTATTCTGCAGTTAGCACTCAGGCAGGATGAGCATATACTCCTTCTTTGAGGAAAAATGAGTCTGAGGCTATTAGACAGGCACCTGGAAATGCATCAGCACCCCAAAAAGAAAGCCAAAATAGATTTCTTTCTACAAAGGATACCAGAAAATAAATATAAAATGTGACAAATACAGATTGTGAAAGTAAAATAGATTACCCAAAAGTTAGTTACACTCTGCTTCCACCTAAAAATGTTTGGGCTATATTTAAGACAATTCAGGAATCACGGGAGGTTATAATGAAATCAATATTGCTCCAGTAAGTGGCCTCTTAGAGAAAAAGTACTAATAAAGGGGGAAGAAAAAAAAAAAAAAAACCCTAAACTTATTACAGGCAAGAGGTACTGAAACTCTCTCTTCACCTGTTTTGGGAAAATAATGAAATAGTTACCTAATTTCATCTACCTTCAGAGCCTTCCCCTCACCAAAAAACACTTTCACTTTTTCCAGCTCATTCCTTGTAGTTATTAAATTTAGTTAATGCCAGAAAACGTCAAAGATAATATCCAACACGGAAACACATCTTCTCTCATCTAATTTTCCTACCATCATTATGATGCATATTTAATTTCTTGTGCCTAGGATGCACAATATATTTTATTCATTAACACGCATGGGGCAGGAAAACAATAAATGCATTGCATTAAGGAGCCACAGATCTAATCTGAGAAGTCAAAGGAGATGATACCAAATAAAATATGATAAATGGACTACACATCTAATGACACTCATCATTAGGTGACTTTATTTCTTGAACTTTGGCAGATCTTCTGTAAAGGATTCAAGGAACAGGAAGTAACCTCGAGCAGTACAGAGAACAAAGGGAGTGGTCTTACTGACATCCTGCTTTCTCTGCAGTACAGACTGGAAGCGAACAGATAAAGGAGCTACTCATATCTTTTATATTTACTTCACATGGGGAAGGACAAAGAATTATAGGAAAGCAGATTAAGCTCAGACATCGGCAATTCTCTCTAATACTAAGGAAAGGGAGGTACTGAACAGATCACCTTGAAACATCCGTGTCCATCCTGGAAAGGCTACTCGAAGAATACCAGGGATGATGTTGTGCCTACATTACGCAGAGTGGGCAGTTTATTTCTGGAGGATTTATTTCAGTTTGCTTTTCTATTATTTCCCTAGACCAAACTGAAAAGTAAAATTATCTGTAATCTTCAGTGTATACTGAAGCTTAACTGTTACCTAGACTTTCCAGGTTACAGAGTTCAACTGTACATTGCATTTATTAATACTAAAACTAAGATCATTTTAGGGTAGGCAATACACAAGAGTTAAGGATTTGTACATCTCTTAAGGGAGAACACCAGCAGACGAGCTTAACTGGTGTTTATAGGCTGGTGGGAGACTGTTCAAGAGCCCACCGGCAAAATCGGAAGTGCTTCAGGTGGAAGACTCTCGTTTTTCTCTTGCTAATCTCACAGGATATAAGCACTTCTTCTGCTTAGGAACATCAACTGGGATCTAGCAGACAGCAAGAAAGGAAAAAGTGAAGGAAATACCAGCGATTAAGTTGAGAAGGGAATCTGGTGCAAGTACAAAGGCAAGCTTGCAATGCTTAGCAGGGAGAAGCTGATATAGCAAGCAATGCTGGATAGTAGTTAGATTGCAGTCTTGATCTAAACTCTCAAAGCCTTCACCTTTAAAATTCAAGCTGAGGCCTTGTCTCTAGCATGTCGTAATGTGCATAACAATGAACAGTAATAAATACTTCAGCAAACATGGCAGATCTTCTGAAATGTTCAGGCATCTACTAAACCACAGCAGAGACACTAGCGGACCGACAGAAGTACATTTACTTCAGTTTCTTCATGTAGAAATTCAGTGCCCATACATATTTGGTATCCTTCCTGTGTGTGAACTGTGCTGCATCAGTACAACCAACTGATGCAACAGCTGGATTCTGCCTGTTGTGCCAGCGTTGCTTACATACCTCATCCATGCCAGAAGCTGTAAAGAAAATGCCGACCTCCTGGGCATATTTCTTCAGCTCCCTGTACTGGTCATGACTAAACTCCAAGTGGCGCTTGTGCTCCCCGTAGGTCTTTCCCCATGAGTGCTGAGAGGTGTACGGCCTCTCTAAGGCTTTCTTGTTGAACTTGTACTCCAGCTCACTCTTCTGGAACTTGGCACAGTCTGCTCCGCAGTCCTGCAAAACACACCAGCACGCTCTCAATGGAAACGCACGCGAAACCGCACTCAGCCCCGCTCTGAAAACAGAGAGGCTCACGTCCTCGTCTGGGTTATCCAGTTTTCACGTCACTGTCACGCTGGTCACGGCATCGGAGCGAACACAGAAGGACAAACATCCCCGCCACCCACCCCTGCAGGGGACTGCCGCTACCCTTAGCAGGGCTCTGGCCTGCAATAAACGCAGTGTGGTTTGCTACCAAACCTGCCTCTGGAAACGCATGCCACCTGTTTAAACAACGGATTGCTGCGGTGCTTCCAAAGCTCAGCCCTCACGCGGTAAGTTTTGCACAGAATTCTGTAGAGTACGGAGAAAGAACCTGAGGCCCGTCTGACACCAGCAGGGCGGTGCGGGCAGCCTCTCAACGCACTGCTTGGG